AACTGAAAGTACAGAATCACAAAAATACATCGAAAGGAAAAAGGAATTATCATCAAATCACTGAGAGAGATGATCAACAGTATTTATACTAAATACATTTCATTTTGGTAATTTGATTTAAGTGACATTTCTCAGTTTTATCGTGTTTATAATTATGATGAAAACTGTTTGAACTCACTAGGCGCTAAACCTAACCTTTTTCTTTATTGACGTGCATCAAATCCTTGGCAGAATGGTACTAGAGACATTGTAAAGTAGTTAGAGGCACGAGAAGAAATTAGCTACTCGGGGACATCTTTTATCTGTCGGAAAGAGCGACTGCTATTGGGTTTTAGTAATACACGTCCCTAATTGTAGACTTGTATAGGGTTTGGAATATATTATTTTGATGTTAATATTAGATTGTCATTATAGGTAATCAATTGTTGACTTATAGAAAAGGATTAAATCCTTATTTGATGTATTATAGAAAATTCTAAATTAGTCGTATTTTCCAAATTTGAGGGTGTTACATGGTCTCTCTTCAACTAGTCTTCAATTTCATTGAAGACTCTTTGATCAACATAAGACTTCACATAAGAAAAATCCTATCCATCTTTCTGAAACATAAGCTATATATCAGATTCCAACAAAAGACTATTTTATGAAGTGTAAAGATTCGGATAATATAGAAGACTTGGATTGTTTTGGTTTTCTGAAATCAAGATTGAATGAACATGTGAAAGGTTCTACTCGGATTCTTGAATTCAAATGAAGAAACAACAGATCGAAGATTTGATGCCAAAACACTTCACTTCCTAGGTTACAAATCTGAATCTTAAATACTGAAATGCGAACATGAAATCCGGTTTGTGAGGACTGAGTTTAGATAACAATGCTTTATATTAGATCCAAATATCAAACGCTATAACTCATATATTTATTCTAAGGCTATGACCAAGAATTATTTTAAGTGGAAGATCAGATGTATTTGTATTATTCTCAAATTAAATGGTTAATACAAACAACAATAATGTTTGAATATTAGTATATCACCCCACTAGCTTTCCCTCCCCACGGCATGATAATGACCTCTTGGAGGTAATCAACTTCCTGCCAATATTATGACCTATAGGAACTTTTGCGATTGATTTCATTTAAAATGATTAATGAAGAACACCGATGTTCATATTCACAAATAAAATAAAATTTGATTTCTGGATTATAAAGTCAATAATGATTTCATGGTAGAAGATTGGATCAAATATCGATGATTATCAAATATCCAAAAAACGATTATGAGAAAAATTAGGAAAAAGACTTAGAATATTTGATATTTTTTTTCATAATTATCTTAATTACAGTATTACATATGTCTTTTACTTAAATAAAATGTTTTGAAAATTAAAATTATAATATAATGAATGAGATTGTTTCTCGGTTTCTTAATATAAATGAGATTATCAGAACAATCGAGAGCATCACGTGTCTAGAACATTCATCATGATATTATAAAAACTAAGGGGACGTTTGGTTCGCAGATTATGAAGGAATCTGATGGAATTGGAATATTGAATTCCATTGACCAAATTTCATTCCCTCGTTTGGTTCATTCTTTTTCACGAAAAGAATCTTCAAAATTCTACAAATTCCACAAATAAAAGAATTTAACATTCCTCAGCAACTACATGATATTTTGATGGAATGAAATTCTCTATTTTCATAATACCAAATATTCCCTTAACCCAATATACTCTAATCCCATAAAACCCAATATGACCAGCGTCTACCACCTTCGACCACCGCCTATTCAAACCACCACCTACCACTACCGATTTGAACCACCACCGACCATCGCCATCTGAACCACCATAGACCACCATCGATCTGAATCACTGTCGACCATCACCATCTGAACCACCACGGACCACCATCGATCTGAACCACCGTCGACCATCACCGATCTGAACAACCAACGATCTGATCTATCGTCGATCTGGACCACCATCGAATTGAACCACATCCGACCATCGCCACCTAAAGCATCACGGACCACCATCGATCTAAATCACTGCAACCACCGGCGACTACCACCGATCTGAATCACCGCCGGACACCGCCAACCGCCAACGATTTGAACAACCACCGATGTGAACTACTACCGCCATCGCCGATCTGAACCACCGTCCATCTAAGCCAGCGCGGACCACCTTAATCTGAACCACCATCCATCGATTTGAACCACTGCGACCATCGCCATTTGAACCACTACGGATCACTATCGATCTGAACCACCGCCGACTACCATTGATTTAGTAACGTCGTTTGGCTTATGGTTTACATATTAAATAATTATTTTATTAAAGTATTTTTAGTTTTAAAAAAATCAAAATTTTCAAAAACATACATTTTGGTCATTTATCAATATTTCGTTCAAATTCCAAAGCTACATTCTGTGAACCAAACAGACAGATTCACTTAACAAATTTCATTCCAATGTCTGTCAACCAAACATGTAGTCAAACCTAATAACATTTTATTCCAATTCCTTCAAAGTCAAATTTCTTTAATAGATTTTATTTCATCCAAAAATATTTTGTAAACCAAACGCATTCAGTGGTTCCGAAATTGTAATGAAAGTGCGGTTTTCAACAAAACTTTTCTATGTTATATTTAGGGCAAATTGCATGAAAAAGTAACGTATTTTAACTTGATTCATATTTTGGGTAACGTGCTTTCAAAACTTCCATTTTGGTACCTAATATGTAAAGTTTTAAATATTTAAGTACCCGGGCAACCCGGAAAGACTAATTTTAGACAAAAAAAAAACTAATTTTAGATTTTAAAAAATCCACGTCACTGACCTCGTCAGCAGATAGTACTGAGTTGGATACCACATCACTCGCCACATCAGCATGATAATCGGTTAATACTTCAACCAGTTACCCGAGTACTTAAATGTTTAAAACTTTACATCTTACGTACCAAAATGAAAATTTTGAAAATACGTTACCTAAAATAGAAATCAAATTAAAGTACGTTACTTTTTCATGCAATTTGGCCTTATATTTATAATGTTTTTTTTAAGTATATTTATAATGTTTATAAAATGCGTTTTCCGTGTTAGATATAAATGGCAGAGAGCGTCTTAGGTATTTGCGTCGTTATTGTCACTTCTTTTTTTCGATCAAGTTCTCTGTCTCACTTCAAAACCCTAGCAATCTCTCCCTCATTTCGCTACTGAATCAAATAACCAACAAGAGGTTTGATCTCTATTTGCTTAAATTATTCAATTCATACGGGAAATTTATATGATTTAACTCGATCTGCTTGCTATTTCAGATATTTCTCTGAATCTCTTTCCATCGGGTTAGCTTTGTTTGAGGATTTGATCGAGTAGCTTGAAGTCACTAAAGAGAATACGAGGTATATTATTAGTTGTCTATGTATTTATGCCAAATTTTGGAGTGTTTCTGATATTTGATGAACTGCGTTTTTCTTTCTTTTTTTCTTTTTTATCCTTTTATATGTTTTTATGCTTAAATGTGCTGGTAAAGAACCATACTAAGCGATTTTGTAGCCTTGGAGATTAAAGAGCGCTGGGTATTTGATATAACATGATTAGTTACTAGACAGTGTTAGATATAGATCACTTCTCTAATTGTTTTTATTAAGTTGTTTATTGTTTCCTTCTTTAATCATGCACTCTTTCTTGCTATACTGTACTTGATTTAAGGCAATATAGATAGTTGTACGAACCATTTTCTGTTGTATTTAATGTTTCGTCTTCTTAAGCTTCAATTGTTTGATTCCCTTCCCTTCCACATTCTACCAAGGCAAGGATGCCTTCTTATATCGATCATGTATTCCTCCTAGGCATGACCTTATAACAACGAAAGTTTAAGATGATGAATCCCCCAATAGCCCATTCTGCGAGGCCCCTCCCCCCCCAAAAGGAACTGGGGGTCACTATGCCGAAAGCTAGAGAAACCCCATCCTTTTTAGAGTATATATGCATGCTGATAACAAGCATGATTTTCTTCAAAATTGGTTTTTTGAATATGATTCTAAGGTTAAGGTGTGCCTTTTTTCTTTTTGTTTTATTTTAAATCTCTATTTATCTCATAGCTCAAAAAGTTGATGGATTTGATTCTGAGGTAATTAAGCTAAAACAAGCATTTAGTTTTACCTTTCATGTGATGTCATTTTGATTGTTTTAGTTTGCTTTATGGCTAGATCTTCATAGTTTACAAGAATTCTGGTTCTCGGGTATTTATTAAAGACTATTTTGCTTCCATTCACTTCTACCTATAGCCCTACAACAATATGGTAATATCAAATCAATAACTTATAGAAAATGCAAACATTCAAATCTTAACTATTTACTGATGATGGGCTGGCAATAGATGGAAGTATTCTTTTCAACAGAAGATTTAATTTGTGTGAGAAGTGTGCATAAGTATAATTGCTGTATATAAATATTATATACTTACAAAAAAAAATTATAAGTTTAACTGATTTTGTTCGGCTGATATAAAGAAACATCAATAATTTGCTATATGCTTGCTCTCCAAATGGTAGTTTGCATATGTGGGTCATTACTGCAGGAGATATATATTTGCTTTTGTTAAAAAGGCGGAATTTAACCTCTATCACTTCCTAACGAGTGTTCAGCGATTGTTTAATAGTTCAACAAACTAAACATTGGTTGTAAGGGTTTTTGAATCTGGATCCCATGCTAACCAAATTAGTCATTATGCTGAAGAACATGTTGGACTATATGAATGAGTTAGCTTTAATATTCTTTCGAACTTGATTATCCTTTTTGTTCTTTGGGGTTTGTTCTGAAATCGTAAAATTGATGATTCTGTGATCTTTTTTGATATTTTCTTTCAACCTTTCGGAGAAAAACTCTAAAATTGAATTGAGGAAATGAAAGTACGATTGTTTCAGTCTATCCAAATTGTTGATGCTACATACCCAAAAAAATATCATGTTTGTTGCAACTTAAAGTTTTATCTTTTATGTGGAATCAATATTTCATATACTAATTACCAAAGTGCCTTGGGACACGTGATCATCATTCCATCTTTCTATATGCAGTTATTTTATAGGGTTATCGAACTGATCATTTGATTCATTTACTTTATAATGAAGATATGTTGGCTGTTTGAAAGTGAAATGACCTTTGAATTTTAAGATGTTTCAGATGGAAATAAACAATCTTGGTCAAGTATTTTTTCTAGCCACTGTTAGGGTTTAGTTTAAAAATGAAGGAAGAAAACAATAAGATGATTTTTTTTTCGTGCATGTGTATGTGTGTTTATGTTTAGGTTTCCTATTTCTGATTCTGTACTTTTTCATTTGTTACCATAAATATATCTTGCTTACTTGCTATTGTTGATTTTTTGTACTAAATGAATCATATTGAGGTTACAAGGCTGATTATGCATGAACTTTGGGGAGTATCTAGACTTTACAAAGCCTCTTCACAAAATGCAAGTGAAAGAGTGCAACTTCCCTTTGCAGACCTTGCAGAGTTCGTGGACCTCGTCTTATCAGCTTTAAGGAAGATGTTCATAGGGTGTGTTGTAGCATGATACACCCTGATGAATCATGTAGCATTGAATACTGTGATTATGAGAACATGTCACTTTTTCTATGACCAGGTCTAACATCAGAGTGTGTAAGAAAATCATATACTTTTTTATAATGGATGTTTCAGTATGGAGAACACAAAAAAGGTATAACATAAAGGGGGAATGAGTACCAACATTCATATTCAAAGAGGATTAGAGCACTTGAGATGGAAAGAATGAGTTTTATTACCTTTGATGTTTAGCTGGGAAAAGCAAACCGTATGAGTAGAAATTGACCCATTAGACTAGTTAATTATTAAATATTGGTTGTAATAGGAAATTAATTGTGGGTCAAATTCGTCATTAAATAAATAGCACACTAATCAACATGGGTCAAATGAGCAAAACAATGTGCAGCAATTAGGCTTTACAATTGTTTTATTAATGATGCAGTATTTTTTACCTGTTATTTCCTAAGATAGAATTATTTTCCGATACATAGGTTAATAATAAATTTTATTTGTTTTTCTGTTACATATATGTTCCTATCAATTTTCTTTTGGCAAAAATTGGTAAAACAAATGAAGGATGAAAAAGCATGTTGGCATCTAATGGAACCCAATCTGGTCAAATCCATCCTAACCCATATGGCTTATTGTAGAGAATGTATCCATTTAACTTGGCCTTTTGACCACAATCCTATCTTTTACCAGATCCGGCCATGATTTTTTACACTATATAAGCTTTGAATTGAAGTAGGATTAAGAGCAGTTGCTATAGGGAACACGAATTTCCGGTGCTTATGTAGTTGCTTTGGTTGTGTGCCTTGTATAAGATGCCAATATCATAGAACATACACGGAGTGCTATTATCTTCCGTATCTATCCAAAACCAAATAAAATAGCCAACAGTAGCATTAAATGATATAAGGCCTATTAGTAAATTGCACTAATAAATTGCATTAATAAATTGCATTAGATGATAATAAGTCCTATTAGCCAACGGTGATTGTTGTTGTTGAATTGAATCCTTAAAGTATTGCATTGGGTAACTCTTTGATGAAGTGATTGTTTTATCAAGAGGGAAGCTATTGCTCCTTTTTTTATTTAGTAGTATTTACCTTACATAGTTTCTTCAAAATTGTAACCTTCACATGGCATGCAAGCTACTAAAAAGGTCGATTTTATGAGGATCAATGAAATAATAAAAAGATATCTAGGGCCCCTGACACAAATAAACGCCTCACAAGTTCGATTTCGATCTTTTACAAGAGCAATTTGGTTCGTTATGGGGGTTAATAGAACGAATCACACTTTTATAATCCAATTGTTAAATCAATTGGGACATGAACTCAAATTGGAGAAGAATATGGTCCTTGGGTTCCTTTTATTCCTTTCGATCAAGACGGGGTAGTAGTGCTGCAGATTGTTGTAAGAATACCATAGTGAAATTGCTATAAACAACTTCATTGTGGTCATATCTTGTGTTTATTCTTTCTCTGTAGCAAATAAAAAGATTTCATCAAAATGTTTGACCTACATAAACTTGTCCCTTTCGAATTGTAGATTTGAAGGGTGCCCAAATGCTTAAGATAGGTTGAGGTTGGTTGTTTGAATGCTTCTTCATTTGTTTAGCTCCATTGGTTTGGTTTGGTTTGGTTTGATTTGATTTGATTTGATTTGATTTAGTATGTTGCCAATCCCCTTCCCCTTTCCCAACTCCCAATATAGGGATCCATGATGATGTATATGAATTAAATCGAGGTCGAGGTGATGATTTTTCATTACTCCATGTGACATATATCACATCTATTGGCATTAGTACATAGCATGCCGTTAAGACTATTGGTTGGTAATTAGTGATTCTGATGTCAAATGGGATAGAAGGATCTAGAACTAACCCCCTTTTTCATGTGTTATACTAATAACTTCTTGTCACTTGCAACAATTCTTCCGGTGGAAATTTGTTGCCTTTCGGGAACTGTAGTCATGTTATACATTGTGACTTGTTCATGCTTACAGATGGATCAGCAAGGGCATGGGCAGGGTCCAGGTATGGGGGCTGTTGGTTACAGTATGGCAATGGCACCATATCCGCCAAATCAAATGATGTCTGCATCAGTTCAGCCTTCTTCACAAACATCTGGTCCCGGTCTTCCTTCCCCTCCAGCACAACTTGCACAACAGCAACTAGCTTATCAGCATATCCACCAGCAACAGCAACAGCAATTGCATCAACAACTCCAGAATTTCTGGGCAAACCAGTATCAAGAAATTGAGCAGACGACTGATTTCAAGAACCATAGTCTTCCGTTGGCAAGGATCAAGAAGATAATGAAAGCAGATGAGGATGTGAGAATGATATCGGCTGAAGCACCAGTGATATTTGCGCGCGCATGTGAAATGTTCATCCTGGAGTTAACTCTGAGGTCTTGGAATCACACTGAAGAGAACAAGAGGAGGACACTTCAGAAAAATGACATTGCTGCTGCAATCACAAGGACAGATATATTTGACTTTCTAGTGGACATAGTACCAAGAGAGGATTTAAAAGATGAAGTAATTGCTTCAAGAGGTGGTGGACCCCTTCCTCCAACTGAGGGTCTTCCTTATTACTATATGCCGCCGCCTCCTCCACAAGTTGGTGCTTCAGGGATGTATATGGGTAAGCCTGTGGATCCTCAAGCCCTTTATGGGCAGCAGCCTCGTCCTTACACCATGTGGCCACAACACCAACAACAACAACAACAAGAACCGCAGGAAGATGCTTAACCAACCAGGTATTATCTGCTACACCAACTACATTGATTATATTACATTAATTTAAGGGCGAAGGATCGTGTGAGAAGGGAAGTTATTACGAAGTGTAAGAAGATATTTGAACCTCTAATCACTCTTAATCTCTTCTTACGTTTCTCATCATGACATCCCTTTTCACCTGAACCCAACCCTTGTTTAAAGATTATATGATAATATTAGTGTTACCATTTGACAGGCGAATGGCAATGGCGATGGCGATGGCGATGGGATGGGATGTAGCAGACGAAGACGGACTCTTGGGCATTTGTATTAATTTTTCATATGGTTATTAAGAATTGCTTACTTAACTATGTCTCTGTCCTTTGTTTGCTGTTCTATGACATGTGTGTGTGTGTGTGTGTGTTATATCTGGTTTTTTGGGAAGTGAAACCCATGCTGCTTGCTCTTTTCATGCAACTTGTTTATGCATCCTTTCCTTTTGTGGACTTCATTTTGTTTTCATAACATGGATTTGAAAACCTCGTGGCTTTACATGTTAATGTTTTAACCAAAATGGGCTCAATTTAGGTTATTTTTTTATTGCTAGTGGCCCAAGTTAAAAAGTTTAGTGTAAAAAAAGGGAAACGTTCAGAGAAAACCAAACCACCTTCCTTAAAAAATGGGGTAATGAGAAAAAAAACCAAAAAAAATGGCTATGAGATGGAAAGTTGGCATGTGAATAACTGTCACTGTCACTATTTCCCAGTGATAAGAATGGAGCATTTAAATAAATAAATGTAAAATACAGTTTAGAAAAATTAAACAATACTTCAATCATTCCTTCCTGCAGTGCTCCAAGCAGCAACATACATAACTTCTGTTTGGTTTCTGAGCTGTCACAAAGAAACATCAACATACATAACTAACAACGGTGGAATACTGATAATTGTACTGGTTAATTGGTATTTAAACATTGTAGCTAAATGTTTAAGCTAAATTAGACAAAAATAAATATAATGGACAAAGCATGCACAGGACGTCAAGTGGAGCAACCACAACAAGCAACACATTCAATAACAAAGAAATGGACCCAAACAAGCTAGTGTATCCCATTAGGATGTGTGAGCCTCTTATTTTCTATTTGCTTTTAAGCATCTACCAGCTTCTCACCCTCAGGTAGAGACCAGTGCATCTGGAAAGACACTGTAATTGCGCAAGCACAATAATAAGGAGATTATTTACGTGATATATTGATGGACGGTGGCGTCTTCCAGTTTTAGATTTTCAAGGGTGTTTTAGTGATCTTATTCAAGGGAAGGGTCAGTGGTTCCTTACTATGATGATGAGCATGCTCCAACAATGAGAATTTGCTTCACTTCTATATATCACTAGTAGGAGAGGATCTACTTATAGATGGACTAATTACAAAAAGGCCGTACTATCATTCATTTGCAAGTTTGACAAATGAGTTTTATTGTTAACCAATTCTACAAATATTTGTTTCAAGATGGTCTGAAGGGGACTCCAGAGGCGACTACAGATGATCCTCAGGAGGAGCTTCAAAAACCCTTATATCAAGCTGTTGTTAACATTCATGGGTCCTTTGTTTCAAGAAAGGTTATTTCGTTTATTCTTTATTGTAATATGTTTTTGGTTTAGTTTGTTTTTCTAGGAATATTGTCATTGACCCTTTTCTTGCTCAAGGACCGAAAGGGAGGCTCAAAACGGCCTCCATTTATGCAGCTGAAGGACCATAAAAGAGGCTCAAAAACGCCTCCTTCATGTGACATTGTTCTTATATTTTAGTATTTAATCATGCAATATTAGTTAAAACTGGAGGTCAAATAATCCAGTAAAGCAGTTCACGTTTGCAACAGATACTAAGCCTTGGACAGAACCAAATAAACAGCATCATTTCCCTCCACATAAAAACAACACAAGCAATACAAAAAACGCAGAAGATTTTAAATAAGGAGCAAAGTGATACATAGCAAGAGTTAATCCTAAACAAAAACAAACCAAACTGAAATAATTACCTCCATGGATGTGGAAAAGGTTGAAGTTGAAAAAACTGTTGGTATCTTGAAGAACGATTAAATTTAGACAATGAATTGAAGAACCTGATCAAACATCAAGGCATGCAGAAATATTATTAGAAGTGAAAGTTATAGAACTTTGCTTTCATGAGCTATGTAAATGGTAGTAATCTCTTGAAAACCATCGAGGGAAACTTTGAACCAAAATATGAAAATCTAAAAGGAATCAAAGTTACCATATCATAAAAGAAAAACTTACTTCAATCTGTCCCTTTTAGACCAACGTTTTGCTGACAGGCCCGTTTTCCAGTCGAAGTCAATTGACATCATCTTGATCGGAGATTGCTTAGTGTCCAGAAACTGGCATGATAATCACCAGCCTCTATGATCTGCATAGTGATAATTGTTCCAAGCGGTAAAGTTACCTATTTGAATCATATCACATAAGATCAATCTCCATCAAACCCAATAACCATTTACACTAATACGACCATTAAGAACATTTGTTTCAAATTTCACAGACCCCACAATGGCACAAATGCTTCAACAGACCCTTTAAGTACAAATTGTAAAGAGAATATCCAACTCCTCTGTGTATAATTAAGTAGTCATTGCATTTAAAGCTCACTTCCATACAGCTACTGAGCATATAAATTATTGAATTAAACTTGTACCCTCACCAACATCATTCACTCTATTTGAATGAAGACATCAAAAGCAGACTAATAATATTCCATTCTTCCTTAAATTAGATTCCTTTTTGGGTCTGAAGATCAAACCTAGCACCCTTTCAAAATAGAAAACTGATATTGATGTTTATGATCCTCTAGCTCCAAATTATATCATATTATAGTATCCTTTGCATAGATTGGTATAATTATACTGATTTTATCAAATTGATCAAAATGATTCTATTAATCTTGAAGCTATAAAAAACAAAGATTTGACTAAATTTGAGGATGAAGAACCAGTTTGTTTGGCAAGGATCAACTATTTATACCATTCTGCTTAGCTTTTTCATGGCAAATAAACTTCTTGCTTGCTAGAAAGCAATAAAAATATGTAGTTTGTGATAACAAGTGATTTTGGACAAACTTTAGAAAATATAACTGCATAAGGAATCATAGCACTTGGCAATTTTGGGATCAACTACTGGTACCATACTACCATTCAATGGACTCAGCGATATATGGATCATAACTGTACCTGACTATGTGTGTTAGGATGTTCTCAGAAGACATAGTAACTACAGGTATCTCTCTCAACGTTGAAGAATTCTAGCAAATGATTAACAGGCAGATTAATATCAGAAAACCAAGCTCTAATCAAGTACATGTGTGAATTTTGAAATCAGAACACAAGAGGCACGTAAAGGTGAGGAGTCTCATGTATAATCCAGAAGAAAAAAAGCACAAACAAAATTGAAATGAAGATAAATATAGATTACAAACCTTGATTTTCTTGAGCAGTTTAAATCTCAGACTTGGAATAATCTGTCATTATCAAGTTCAAACATCAAAACTTGAACTTACATCGAATTGAGAAGATATTTGTCTTCCTATAAACCTAGATATTGTAAAGCTCTAATTCTACTATCAACAACAGTAACTACCACAATCCACACAATTCCAATTTAGAGCTTCTACTTAAAATCAACCTATCTATCAAACAGGAACTCGAAAGGATAAACGGATTAATCTTATCAAATCATACCTTTGAAAATGAAACCTTGAGCAGTCTCTCGAAGACTTCCTGATCGGTGTTGGTGTCATCCATGGCGAGGACATGTAACTCTAATCAGAGAATTTCAAAGACCAGAGGGGATGGAGAGGGAGAGAAACGCAACAGGGGAAACCACTGAGGCAGAAAGGCCTTGCAAAGTCGCCAAACATGATTTTACCTTCGATTACATAGTTTTGTGGGATTTTAAAGGGATTTTTTTAGTGTATTTATTGATTTTGAATGATTTTTTCGATTCTTTTATTGACTTTAGACATTTTTTAGTTAGACATTTTTTAGTTGATTTTAAGAGGTTTTTTTTGAAGTTGGTAAAGATCGATTAAGGTTGTGGAGTCCCTTGTAAAAATTTATAGGGGATCTAAGTGAAAAGTTACAAAAAAAGAAAAAAAAATTAACCCTTGTAATTTTTTTTAATGGGTCCCTTCCTCTTATTCAGGGCGTCTTAATTTTCTTGAAGGTCTTGTTGCATCTGTTACCACATACTAGTATTATAGTTTTTAACGACTTGTTTGATCAATTGTTTATTTCCTCATTGGTTAGGCATCCTTTTAAGGAGATGAAGTAGATCACTCCAAACTGAAAATATGATATTCCCTAGTTTCCATTCATACTTTAATAAAGTAGGCCCTTCAATCACCAAGGACAAATGAACATATTCACTTTTCTGGGTTAAATAAGGTCAAGCTCATCAATGAAGTTAGTGATAATGACTAGATTTAGTCTGCTTGTTCCACTACCATATATTTTATTTGGGGACCGTCCAGTCGTCCACTGAACAGTAGAAGTGATCAATAGTCAACAGAACAAGAACAAGGTGATTGTTGGTTGTCGGTTGAAAGATCGAAGGTCAAAACTCAAAAGGAAGGGGCGTCTAGGCAAAGATCCAAAATACCTGGACAAAGAACCAAAATACCATAATTGATGTGTGGAGTCATTTGGATTTGGGTTCATGGAGAAGGTCATTAAGTCAGAAGGAAGGGCGAAGAACCAAACCGACAAAAGGAAGATCGAAGACGAAGGATGGGGTGGAAGAGATGAGAGATTGAAGCGTCTGAAATTTGGGCCCTAAAATTTTGGGGCCCCTGTTCTATATAACAGATGTAACGGGCCAATTGACGGGACTGCCCCTACTTCTTCCTAACTAAGTCCGCCACTATTCTTGGAAAATCCTGCATCGAAGCGTATGAGCATTTGCAACACTGAATCGTCTTCTTGGAAAACCCTACATTGAAGCATATGAGCGTGTGAATATCTTGGGGCTGTCAAACTGATGTGTGAGTGTGAGCCCTCGTAGGGTTGTGGAAGGCTTTATGCATCATGTAGTTATACCTTAAGCTCTTAAAGTTGTAATTAAGAGATTTAAGAATGTATGCTTTAGTAAGTAATACTTTATGCATAATAACTTGTCTCTAAGACTTTTATAAAATCTCCTTATAAAGGTAGTATAGATATAGATAAAGAATTGAATTTTCTCATTTTGAATGACTAGTTGTGTATCCGTGTAATGCGGCAGGATATAAATGTTCTATTAAGATACATTTAGCTTTTAAATATCAAATTTGTTGCAAAATATCTTTGAAATATTTGGTGGTTCACAGTTGTATCGTAAATCCAAAAGTGAAAAATTAATGCAATTTCTCATTCAAAAAGTCTAAAATTTATGTTTAAACAAAGTAGAAATTACAATTATGTTTTAATCATATACAATTATCACTCAAAACTTCTTGATACACCACATTGGATGTGTAGACTCCTTCCTGATTGAACTTTTTGACAGATTTCACTAATACATTTGTATTACCACGTGATATCTTTTTGGACAATGTCACGTAAAGTTGGCCATGCGATAATACCGATTTTGTAGATAAACAACTACCACCGGAATTGTCTGCCTTTGAGCTTTATTGATTGTCATAGTAAAACAAAGCTGAATAGGAAATTGTTTTCTCTTCAGTTTAAAGGGAAACATGTCATCTTGACGGATATAGAGGAATTCCTGGTAAAAATATCCTTTTACCAGCATGCTGACCAACACCTATTTTTGCATCGATAACGTTATGCTGAAAACTTCTACATATCAACCTCGTGCCGTTACACAATCCATTTGAGAGGTCGATATTTGAATTTTTATGTAAAAGATTTATAGACGGGGTTTATCAAAATCGTATCGATCCGCAATAGTATTATCGGGTATCCAATTTTAAGTCGGAGATAATAAGGGGGAAACCGCTAACAATCAGTGAGTTTAAGAATTCCATCGGATATAAGTTATTGTTATCGTCTTTTGCTTCGTCAAAACTATAGTAGATTTTTTCCTCTCCACAAAATCTTTCAATCAACTTATCATTAATCACGTCGACGTGCTCATTTTTAGTTGTTACTATCACCCTCGAAATGATATAATCTAAAGCAGTCATGTTGGTTTGAAGACAAGGAAAGATTGCATCAATCAAAACATCAGTCGATTCATTTCTATTGGTGTAAGGTATGGCCATGTTACTAGGCATGCAAATGAAGTTTCCGTCCACTAATTCTTCATCTCCATCATCGACTCGTAACAGAAAATCCAAAAACCAGGGATCAGTAAGTGCTCTCATATTGATTGTTAACCACAACTTTTTAAGATATATATTCTTCATATAAAAAATTTTACATTGAAACAATCTTTAAGATCTTCAGACGCTTTAGAACAACTTTCAATCTTCAACGGTCAACTAATCTTCAATAAACTCTTTTCAGACAACAGATAAGCTTTAAACATTTAGACTTTAAGCTTTGACACTACGTGTACTAAGCTCATTACCATTATATCATGAAAGAATCCAATTTTTTCAACAACTGTATTCAAACAACTCTGATTCAATCTTCACAGATAAGTCAACAATAAATCTCAACAATTCAACACCAATCAATTCATAACATCTACAATATTTAAATCCAAAGGCTTTTCAACCTTAGACTCAAAAGATTTAAAGACAAACCTTTTCATTCATGAACTGATTCAACAATATGTTATCTTTAACATCCCTTCAACATCATCATTTGTTACCAACATCTTTGAACATTATTTCTAGTCTTTGCATAATGTCTTTCTTCATATCTTTGTTCATGTCTTTGATATTGTTTCCCCCCTCATGAAGACTAGGAGAATGCTGAACATCATGAACAATCAAAGACTTGAATTTTTCCTCTTATGAACAATACAACTTGGTAACCAAAACATCTTCAGATATACCCCCCTGTAGAAATGAATCAGATTTTCTCAAGCATCTTCAGTTAATCTCTTCCTTTACATAAACCAAAATTTTATCTCCTTCTTAAAAATCATCTTTGTCAGAAACAACATTCTCTCCCCCTTAAACATAGATCTTTACCATCACAAGCAATCTCTCTTCCTTAAAAATTGGGTAATCTTCTAAAACAGAAACATATTTAGTAATTGTTATCACTGCAATCGAAATAAATTCAATTGAGTAGCCTATTTTCAGAGTTGGCAATAATGAATCTCTGATAGGACTTCCAGTTATCACTGAAATAAAGTTGAAGAACTAACTTCTCAAACTGTTCTAGCATAATCACAAAGATATGCAATTTGAATCACAAAAACTCGTGAATGTGACAAGAAAATATCATTCAGATATATTTGGCTCAATAAACTCAATGTGCATATAATATGAAGTTCGAAGACCGGATGTGCGTTTTCTTGTTTCAATATCTAAATCTTTCGAATGAAGAATAGATAGATTATATGCTAATTCTCTGTGATATATGAAACAAGCACCTTTTGTGAGATACTTGAGTAGTTAGGTGGAGTGACACGAGTAATCGACATTAGGTCCATGTCTGTTTCAATATTCATCTTCAAAGAATGAGGATGAATGGATTGTGTGGTTACCCGAATAATTGTTTCAGTTTAGAAAGGACTATATTTATTTCTTTTAAGTCCTATCTCACCCTCACCATTTTCTTTTAACTCACAAACACTCAATCTCTCAACATTTTACCACAAACACTCCCTTTCAAAATATATCTAACCTAGGGATATGTTTCATGGGTAGGTTCTTCTGGTTTTGAATTGATCACTGAAACTTCTATATTCTTTACTTTTGGTTCAGGTTCATGTTCAAATTTTAGACTATTTAGGTTTTGCATACCCCTAATTGAAATTCTAGTTGAACGTTTTAGGAGCCTTTTGACATTTTTTTTTTCCAATTATAACTCAAATTAATATTAATTGTTATTTATTACTATTAATTATTAACAATTATTAATA